CCCTCACTCACAGCATTCTTCTTTCACTAAGAAAACAGAAGCAATTAGAAGGCCCTGTCGCATCACCCTCCCTACCTGTATCCATGCCTCTATGTTCTGGCCTTTCCTCTGATTACAGTTCAACAACTGTCTGAGCCCCGAACAATGGGCACTCCCACCATCTGTCCAATAGAGTTTCCATCACCACATGTGGACCAAAGAACATAAATTCAGTCATTCTCACCTCTTCCCACATTATTTTTTGCCCTCTCTTCCAGACTGCTCTATCAACAAATAAACATGCAGTTATTTCTCCCATCTTTAAAAAAGAGGTCTTGAAAAACAGGTCTTGAAAAAAATTAATTAATTAATTAACATTAAAATTAAAACAGGTCTTGACCCACTTCCCCCACCAGTCCATTGCTCTCCTTCTGATAATAACAAGACTCCTTAAAATTAGGAGGTATTTATACTTGCTGTCTCCAATGTCTCTCCTCCCATATTCTTTTTGAATTCAAGAATGGATTTATCCGGGGTGCCTGGGTGGCTCAGTGGGTTAGGCCGCTGCCTTCGGCTCAGGTCATGATCTCAGAGTCCTGGGATCGAGTCCCGCATCGGGTTCTCCGCTCAGCAGGGAGCCTGCTTCCCTCTCTCTCTCTCTGCCTGCCTCTCCATCTACTTGTGATCTCTCTCTCTCTCTCTCTGTCAAATAAATAAATAAATAATCTTTAAAAAAAAAAAAAAAAAAAAAAGAATGGATTTATCCCACCACTAACAAAACTACTCTTACTGGGGCGCCTGGGTGGCTCAGTGGGTTAAAGCCCCTGCCTTCAGCTCAGGTCATGATCTCAGGGTCCTGGGATTGAGCCCCACATCAGGCTCTCTGCTCAGCAGGGAGCCTGCTTCTCCCTCTCTCTCTGCCTGCCTCCCTGCCTACTTGTGAATTCTGTCTGTCAAATAAACAAATAAAATCTTTAAAAAAAATAATAAAACTACTCTTGCCAGATCACTAGTAACCCCCCATGTTGTTAAAGTCAAGTGTCAATTTCTAAATGTCATCAAGTGCATTTGACACAGATCCCTCCTTCCAGGAAACATTTAAAGACACCAGTTTCCTGGTATCTTTTTCTTCCAGCTGCTCACACTCAGTCTCCTTTTGCTGGTTCCTTCTCATCTCCGTAAGCTCTAGACACTGTGCTGCCCAGTGCTCAGAACTTTTCTACTAATAACTCCCTGGTCGTCTCACGTAGTCTTGTGACTCTAAGTATCACCTACAGGCTGCCAGCCCCCAGATGTGTATCTCCAGGCCAGACCTGGATCCCGCACCCCAGAGGTCTTCATCCAGCAACCTGCGAGGTATTTCCTATTGGATGCTATGCTGGGGCTCTTACATTTGCCCCTCCAGATTCACCCTACTTCTTCTTCCTCCCTGTTCTGCCCTAAGAGGCTGATCTATATGGATGACAGCAACCGGCTCTGTTTGCCTTCTGGCTGCTAGTAGGTTAGGATTCTGGGAAGCCCTGACAGGAGAATAAAAGGTTGGGGGGGAGGCAGTATAAGACCAGAGTATTTATTCACCTTCTCCCTCCCTGGAGAGTCACCTTCACTGGCTAGATCTCTGGAGCAAAGGTGATTGACTCATCCTCTCAAGGTCAACTGCCCTATAAGAATCTCTCCCCCAGAGTTTCAGTGACGAGGGATAGTAACATCTCTGCTGTTGCCTTTCCTCCCAGTGCTCTACGATCTATGCGCTCTCCCCACATCCCGCCCATACTTGTGTAAGCAATGCCTTTGTTAAAAGTTCCTTCTAATTCTATTGAGGGTGCCATCTAGTTCCTACAGGAACTCTGACTAACACAGATGTCCAACTGGCATCTCAATGATAACACATGCAAAACTGAGCACCTCCCATGGTCTTACCTATCTCAATCAATGGCAGCTTCCTGTAGTTCTGAGACCGAGAACCTGGCATCATCCTCATACATCTTTTTACCTCATACCCCACATCCTCAAGCCCTGTATGCTGTTCCCTCAAAATAGATCCAGAACCCAGCCACGTCTCACCAGCTCCATGGCCACCACCCTGGCCACGGCCACCATCCCCACTTGTTTGGGTTGTTGCAATAGCCTCCCAGCTGGTTTACCAACACAGCAGCCAGAGAGGTCCTGTTAAGTTAAGCCATATCACACTTCTCTTCAAAACCCTCTCATAGCTGCTCATCTCAGAGTAAAAGCCAACATCTTTAATAATAATCTACAAGCCTCCCCGTGATCTGGCCCCATATGCCTCTCTGACCTTATCACCTACTTGCTCACTTTGTTCCAGTCATGCTGGCCTCCCTTGCTATTCTCTATACTCCTGTCACCAAGCCTTTGAACTTGTTATGCCCTTGGCCTACAACACTCCTCCCACAGATATCTTCAATGCTTGCTTCCTCACTCACCTTCCTCAGGCCTTTATTCAAATGTCATCATCTCAATAAGACTTTCTCTGGCCACTCTTTCTAAAATTATAATAGCCTCTCCCCACTTCATCTCGATCTCAAGCAATTATCACCATTTAGCATCTTACATACTTGCTTTTCTTTAATGTGTCTCCACGCTTTAGAAGGTCCACTCCAGGAGGTGCATGTTTTGGTCTGCCCTGTTCTTTGCTATATGCTCAATCTCTAAAATGGTACCTGGAAGTAGCAGATACTCAAATAATTGTTTAATGAACCACAACCAGACACCATTCAGTCAGACGGCAATAGTTAAAAAGTCTATCAGTACTACATATGGCCAAAGATAGCGAACACTAGGAATCCTAGCTCATCTCCACTTTGGAGAGCAATTCGGCTAGATCTAGAAAAGTTGATGATGTGCACATCTAACAAACTAGCAATGTACTTTTCTGGGTTATGTATTTATCTATACAGATGAATATGGTATACTAGAAGTCCGTGACTCCAAGGAGTATAGTCAGACTAGCTGGAGAATATTAATATTTTAGGATCAGAGAAGGAAGTCCATCCCTCAAAAGCAAACTAATACAGTCCTGCTCCTACAACGAAGAGAACATGGAGGCTCTTCTCAGGCATAGGACATGGTGAGAAGAAAATGATCAATCACCAGCAGAATGGGGGAAAAAAAATCAAAGCACATATCAGAAGATGTGACAATTGTGATCACCCAAAAAACCAATCACAGATAAGTCACCTGGAAAGAAATCAGCAAGCAAAGACAGACTACAGGAAAGACATATGAGACCCAAATCATGTTGGGTTTTAAATTGTAAATAAAATGCTAACAGAACTAACCAAAATAGTACGCCACTGGGCATAAATGTTAGGTCAGACTCGAATTTTGCATTGCCTTTAAACATTCATGCAGGATCTCACAGGCCAGACACGGTCCTAGTAATGGACTATACATTTGGTTCAACTAAAACCAGGTAGTTCATGTGTTAACCTTACTGCGCCTGCTTCAAGCTTTCCCTACGTCCTTTCGCAGAACCACCAAGAGAAAGAGAAAATAAGCAACCTACCTTTTACCTTTCTCCCACCTTGAAGAAAAGTGCTAATAAGCCTGTAATTGGCCAAAATTCGGGTCACCAGAGGGTAGTACTCATCTGACCGGCAAGAAGATGAGTCACCAGTCCCTGAATAGTCCGTGAGTTCGATGCCCTCAGCAAACACCTCTTCTAAGAGGGTTACCGTGTGGTGGGGGGGGAATAGAACATAATGACACCAGGCTGAACCTTGCTCTTCTGACTCACACTCACATACTCTCTCCACTTACAATTCTCTTTCTCCTGAAAGGGTTTAATTAAGTCAGAAAAGAATTCATCACTTTAGGATGCTTAGTCTGGTACAGGCATTCAAAAATATAGGCAGAGGAGAAAAAAGACAGGTTGAACTCAACAGCAACATAAAAGTCATGAGGAAGAGGGAATTTAAAGCAAACTGTCTGAAAATCTTCATTTTATTTCTCTGCTTCTTAACTGCTCATCCTTTAAATTTTTTTTTTGACCTGGTAATATTTTGTTGTTGAGGTCATCGTGGACTCTCATAATACTTGTAGTAACAACACAGAGATCTCCCGCACTTGACCCAGTTTCCCTAATGATAACACTGTGCAAAACTATAGTATAATATCACAACCAGAATATTGACATACTGATACTGATATAACCCACCAATGTTGTTCAGATTTTCCCAGTCTTATTTGTACTCACTTGTGTGTATGTGTCTTAAGTTCTAGACAATTTTATCACTTGTGTAGGTTTGTGTATCTACCACCACAATCGAGAAAATGATCAGTATCAGCACTAGAAGGACACCTCATGTTACCTTCTCATAACCACATCCACCAAACCCATCTCTAACCCCTGAAAACCACTAATCCATCTGCCATTCATTCTTTCAAGCCTCATGCCACACCCTAGTAAAGAGTAGCCATCTGTACGACCACCCCTGTTCCATTCTCTCACTATACTCCTACTCTCCAGCCACACACAGCTGCACACTCAGGGTGGATTCTGTCTTCAAAAAGAGCTGGCCAGAGAAGGAAAGGGTGTTGCACCTTACTGATAGAGAAAACCATCCAAAAGCAAAACAGAAGGGTTTTCACGTTCAGGTACACAGGTCTCTTCTATGTGCATATCCACTAATAGGCATATTCCTGGCTATAAAAGAGGAAAGAACACATATTCTAGAAGCTTCGTAAAGCTTTGTATAAACAAGTATTGATTCCTATGAAATCAAGGAAAAGACTTCTATTTTCAGACTACCCAATTTAGAGGGGCATAGTGCAGCATTTTTCACTTCCGTAAAAACTTTCATCCATTTCAACGAGGACTTAAGTCCTTCTACATCGGTATGTGGAATCCCTAGCTTCCACTTAAAGAAACATCTTTCTTCCTTACAAGCCATTAGATACGCTGTCCTTTACTCAAATTTAAAATCCAAAGGACAAAATGAACTGCTAGTTATTACAACGCAGTTTTAAAAGGAACATATGCATGCGAATGGGATTCATACCTGCTGAGCTGAGGAGAACACTGAAGTCCGTTCCCCTCTGTGATTCTCCGCTTTCATTATTGACCTCTTTTTCAATATCTTGATATCGATCCCAGTTAGAGACTATCTTTCTTTTAGAATAATTTCCCTGTTCCTCATTCTCTTCTCCATAGGTCTCTGCATCACTGTCATCTTCAACCTGCAATCATTAGAGACAAATCAATACGCAAGCAGTGGAAATTTCGACCTCAGCAGCCTTAGCAGTAAAGTAAAACCAAACAAACAAAAAAAAAAAAAAAATAGTACGCCGGTATCACGATGAAGAGCACATTGGTAGACCAAGCTCTCAGAGGATACTAATAGTATTTCAAAAGGACCCCATTATATCAGAATGTACTTTCAGGGCAAGCTTTTCCTTTAGCTTTGCAGAGGAAATTTGGCAAGTTCCTGCCAAAAAATCTGTGTAACATCTACCCCAGTGTACGCTTTTTCAATAGCTGTTTCAGCTCATTGAAACAATCAAGGCTATATGAGTCTTAAACTTAGAGGACTTTAGGATAGGAATCAACCATTTTCAGGGGCACTTGGGTGGCCCAGTCAGTAGAGCATCTGTCTTCAGCTCAGGTCATGATCTCAGGGTCCTGGGATGGAGCCCCACATCCAACTCTCTGCTCAGCGGGGAGTTTGTTTCTCCCTCTCCCTCTGTCCCTCCCCACCATTCATGCTCTCTCTCTCACTAATAAAATCTTGAAAAAAAGAAAAAAAAATCAACCATTTCAAAGCCTACCTACTCCCAGAAATTGGCACCACATAAATACCTCAGAAACAACCTGCACACCCAGAAATGAAGGGAAGGCAGGAATGAAATCTGACCTGTATAAGTTTACATGTAAAATGACCACGGTTGCTTGGAATTGGTAATTTTAAGGTTTTTGCCAGCTGGGGCATGGGATCTTTTAGTTATGGAAAAGAAGTTAATCCTTTTTTTAAAAGATTTTATTTATTTATTTGACAGACCGAGATCACAAGTAGGCAGAGAGGCAGGCAGAGAGAGAGGAAGGGAAGCAGGCTCCCTGCTGAGCAGAGAAACCTGATGCGAGGCTCAATCCCAGGACCCTGAGATCATGACCTGAGCTGAAGGCAGAGGCTTTAACCCACTGAGCCACCCAGGCATCCCTGAAGTTAATCCTTTTTATGCCCAAGAATGTTGCTTGAGAAAACTGAACTGCTACATAAGAAACTGAGGCATAAGTGTATTATTTAAAGTAATTAAAGATAAATAAGCAAATAAAAATACATAAAATATTATAAGGAGGAAGAGGTGGGAGAGAAGAGAGAACAGTTACAGAACTTAAATCCTCACCTTTCATTTCTGGAAGACAATAGGCTAAATATTGATTGGATACATTCAAAAAAATAAAGTCACTAGAAATAAATCATTTCTTGATGTTGCACAAAAATTTGTTATACAGCTAATTTTTTTTTCAATTTTAAGGATTAGTTTTTAAAAGTAAGTATTTTGAAAGTTTAAAAAAAGAAATCAACCATTTCAATTTACAGATTTTACAAACACAGTAAGTTTTATAAGTTTTATTTATTTTTTTTAAAGATATTATTTATTCATTTGACAGACAGAGATCACAAGGCGGAGAGGCAGGCAGAGAGAGAGGAGGAATCAGGCTCCCCATGGAGCAGAGAGCCCGATGTGGGGCTCGATCCCAGGACCCTGGGATCATGACCTGAGCCAAAGGTGGAGGCTTTAACCCACTGAGCCACCCAGGCGCCCCAGTTTTATAAGTTTTAAATGGAACTCTGCTCAGATGCATTCAAGAGCACAGCTTCCAGTCTTGGGTATTAAAAGAGAGCATGCAGAAAAATGCAGAAGGTGAAAAATTATAAAAGATAAAGGGTCTACTTTCTTCAATAAATCATTTGCAAGAGAAAAACTGCTGGGGGAGGAGAGATAAACCTATAGATTGAAAGACCTTACTGGTCACATAACCATTTGTAATGTCAGGAACTTGCCTGATACCGGATTCAGACAATATAACTACAGATAAAAATCACTTATGAGACAATCAGAGAAAGGTGAATGACTGGATATTTGATTATATTAAAGAAATACTATTATTTCACATATTTATTGTTTGGTGTGATACTATATCCTGATTTTTTTTAAATGTTCTTATTTTTTTGGAATAAATATTGAACCACTTATGAACGAAAAGATAGGACATGTGGGATTTCCTTTAAAATAGTGGGTGGAGAGGAAATAAACCAAGTATAATTGATAATCATATTATTCTATCTACTTTTCTATGTATTTGAAAGTTTCCATAATAAAAAATTAAATCTCAAAAAGGAAGATGCATGTAGAATCTAAAGAAATGGTTCAAAGAAGTATCCTAAAGATTATAAAATCTTTATCAAGAGAAAAACTTGGGGCGCTTGGGTGGCTCAGTGGGTTAAGCCTCTGCCTTCGGCTCCGGTCATGATCTCAGGGTACTGGGATCAAGCCCCGCATCATCAGGATCTCTGCTCAGCAGGGAGCCTGCTTCCACCTCTCTCTACCGGCCTCTCTGCCTACTTGTGATCTCTCTCTCTGTGCCAAATAAATAAACAAAATCTTTTAAAAATAAATAAATAAATAAAAATAAAAAATAAAAAGAGAAAAACTTGTGAAATATACAACCCATCTATAAAAGGACATGTTAGTCTAGACTTTACAAAAAAAAAAAAAAGTTTCTATTAGCACACAAATGGGACATGTGCATTTGAGAAATTGAGAGGACAAGACAGTAAAGAAATAAAAACCCCACATTCTCGTCACTCGAGAGTAGGAGCACCACTATTAACATCTTAGAAAGAAATCTGCTAGTAAATGCACTATCTATATATTTACATAGACTTTTTTTTGTAACAAGAATTTTTTTCATCAAAATTCTGCATCTCTCCATCTCAGTTAATGGCATTTCATATAACTATCTGGATTATTTCCAAATTTGCCTGGCCCCAAAAATTTCCTTTAGAGCTGGTTTTATCCAAACCAGTATTCTATTCAAGGCCATGCCCTGTAGTTCACTGTTTGTCCCTAAGTCCCTTTGAATCTAGCACAGTCTCCATTTTTATGACATTGATTTACTGAAGAGATCAGTACAGGTAGAGTGCAGAAGGATCCATCTTCTGTCTGGCTGCTTCCTGGTGGTACTTATTCATAGGAAATAGTGGATTAAAAAAATATATATCTAAAAATCTGAATGCCCAATGGAGTCAAGTTAAATATTTTTTGGCTAAAAATATTGGTTGAGAAGGTGAAAAATTATAAAAGATATAAAATTATAAAAATTATAAAAGATATAAAAAAATTTTTTTATCTTTGTGACTTCGTACATGATCTGTTGTTTAAATAATAAATACCAGCAACATTCTGAAGAAAATAGCTTCCTAACAGATGTGGAACTGGGGGCCAGAAGTAGAGCTGAAAATCCTAGCAGTGTTCAATCCGAGAAAATCCAATATTCCTTTGTTGGCCCACTGGGTAAACATAGTTCAGAGACTTCTCTAGTTAGTACAAAATTTCTTAACATTGCTGTAACACATGGTAAAAATGTGGCCTGGACAGAGTGATTAGCTTGATGTGGAAAAGGATGATGGTCTGAAACACCTGAGGAGCTACTAACAGTGAAACAAGCACCAACATAGGAGGCAGGAGATCCGGGAAGAATGAATGGCCCTGCACTCACCATCATGTAATATTTACTAAGTGTTCATGATGGGTTGGGCCTCACACCACTGAATGACCCACTAATCCCCAACCTAGAAGAATCACTGAAAGATGATCTCATTACCCCCACCCAACTGCAGAGACAGAAGAGCTGCCATTAGCCTCTCTCACAAGAGGGTATTAAAAAGTAATCAAGTGTAGAAGACATTTGATGTGAATTAGAGAAAGGGGTATCTTAAAAACTCCTAGAGATTTTACATGTGGTTCATTTTACAAAGATCTGGGAAAAAATACGCAAAATCCCAAAATAGAAAGAATAAGGAAAATACTAAAGAAAGCTATGTGAAAACCACAAGGCATCACTATTATGTTAACATCATTAAAATATTAATATGCTAATTTTGCATACTGAAAAATATAATATACTGATGGAAAAAGTTAAAGAAGATACAAACGTAAAAACAGCTGCACTCACAGATTAAAAGAATATTGTTAAAGGGCGCCTGTGTGGCTCAGTCAATTAAGCAACTGACTCTTGATTTCAGCTCAGGTCATGACCTCAGGGTCATGAGATTGATCCCTGCATCAGGTACTGTTCTGAGCTGGAACCTGTTTAAGATGCCCTCTCCCTCCCATTCGTGTTTTCTCTCCCTCTCACTCTCTCTCTCTCCAAAAATATAAATATTGTTAAAATATCTACAACTAGGGGCTCAGTTGGTTAAGTGTCTGCGTTGGTACAGGTCATGATCCTGAGGCTGAGCCCCACACCAAGCCTGCTTCTCCATCTCCCTCTGTGCCTCCCCCTCTCCCCACTCATGCAAATGCTCATGTGTGTACTCTCTCATAAATAAGTAAAATATTTTTTAAAAACCTAACCTCAAAGCAATCTACAGATTCTACAGATTCAATGCAATCCCTACCAAAATTCCAATGGCATTTTCCACAGAAAAAAAACGAACCTAAAAATCTGTATGGAGCCACAAAAGACCCTGCAAAGCCAAAGCAAGCTTAAGAAAGAACAACAAAGCTAGAGGTATCATGCTTCCCAATAGCAAACTATATTACAAAGCTATAGTAATCAAAACTGTATGGCAATGGCCTAAAAATAGACACATCAATGGAATAGAACAGACAGCCCTGAAATAAATCCACACATTTAGGTTCATTTAGGACAAAGGGTACACCATGGGGAGAGGACAGTCTCTTCAGTAAGTGGCACTAGGAAACTGGACAGCCACTTGGAAAAGAATGAAACTGGACCACTATCTCACACCATACACAAAAGTTAACACAAAATGGATTAAATACTTGAGTGTAAGACCTGAAACCATAAAAATTCTAGTGGAAAAACGTAGGGGTAAGCTCCTTGACATCAGCCTTGGCAATTTTTTTGATTTGACAGCGAAGCAAAGGCAACGAAACAAAAATAATAAACCAGTGAGACTCCATGTCCTGAGTCATGTACAGAACTGTTGAATCACTGTACTGCACACCTGAAACTAATATAACAATATGTTAACTATACTGGAATTAAAATAAAAAACTTAATTTTAAGAAATGAAAAGGCAACTTCTAGGAGAAAATATTAGCAAAATCATATTAGCAAATCATATCTGATACGGCCCCTCCTCCCATAATGGATTTTAAAAAGCAATTTAAAACAATATGTGCATAATTCTATTTCCATATATTATGGGCCCAACAAAGCATTTGCCAATAACAGCACAAAGGAGGTGGGTGAGCACTGAACTGCCCTGCACTAAGGGAAAGACTCAGTATAGGAACTCAAACACACAAACACACAAACAAAACTAGGAATAGGAAATAAGAAGGCTAGTATAACAAAAGCAATAAACATATGCTTATTCTTCTTTCCTCTCTCATTCTTTGAAAGATAACCCTAATCAGGTTTTTTAATCGGTAGCAGCTGACACTGCACTACTTTAAAAAATTCTTTTTAATTATAGAAAAAATTATAAACCATCATAATTAAAGAGTTCAATGACAGCTTTTGGTATTAGGAAAGTGTGCTAGCCCTGCACCCCAATGTTTCTAGCAGCAAGGCCAACAATAGCCAAACTATGGAAAGAGTCCAGATGTCCATCAACAGGTGACAAGTGAATGGATAAAGAAGATGTGGTATATATACAAAATTGAATATTATACAGCCATCCAAAAAATGAAATCTTGGCATTTGCAATGACATGGATACAACTAGAGGGTATTATGCTAAGTGAAATAAGTCAGTCAGAGAAAGACAATTATCGTATGATCTTGCTGATATGTGGAATTTAAGAAACAAGGCAGAGGATCACAGAGGAAAAAGAGGAAAAAATAAAACAAGATGAAACCAGAGAGGGAAACCGTAAGAGACTCAATCATAGGAAACAAACTGAGGGTTATTCAACAGGAGACGGTGGAGGGATAGGGCAACTGAGTGATGGACACTAAGGAGGGCACATGATGTAATGAGCACTGGGGCTTATATAAGACTGATGAATCACAGACCTATACCTCTGAAACCAGTAATACATTATAATTAAAAAAAAATAAGTATGCCAGAAAAAATAATTTTTATGCAGCATTTTAAGAAGCTAAATTTCCATTAAAAATTGAATGAAGAGGCGCCTGGGTGGCTCAGTGGGTTAAAGCCTCTCCCTTCAGCTCAGGTCATGATCCCAGGGTCCTGGGATCGAGCCCCGCATCAGGCTCTCTGCTCAGTGGGGAGCCTGCTCTCTCCTCTCTCTCTGCCTGCCTCTCTGCCTGCTTGTGATCTTTGTCAAATAAATTTTTTAAAAAATTGAATGAAAATATTTACATATACACTATATACCTAATATACAGATAAACTAATAAGGAGGTTTCCATTTGCCATTGTGTATTAAGTAAAATATACATTAGAACATGAGCACATTTGAAATGCAATACATGGCATATATAGCTACATTATCTACTGAGCCCAGAACAATGTACACAGTATTTGAGCTACAAAATACTCTAGCCAGCAGGAATGGGAAGAAAGTGGTCCAAATTATCCTCAAATTCAGATATTTCTCTAGAAGAGAATTATCTACATCTTCTTTTCTTGTCCCTCCTTGTGATGGGTATATGGGAAAGAAGGGACAGAGAAAATGGTACCCCAATCCTCAAAGTAGCTGCTCAATGACACTTCTGCCAGACCTCTTCACTCATCCCCAGTCATCTTTTTTTTTTTTAAGTTTATTTAAGTAATACTCTACATCAAACGTGAGGCTTGAACTCAGGACCCAAGATCAAGAGTCACATGCTCTACCAATTGAACCAGCCAGGAGCCCCTCCAGTCCTTATCTTTCTTTCTCCAAGTCCTTTTATCTTTCTCATCTGTGTTATTTTGTTTCTGAGAGTTGGCTAAAAAGAGAAGGCACTGAAAGGTAATTACCATTGGCTGGCAGTCTATACAGGAACTAACGTATGAGATATCTTATTGTAAAGACCTTAAGAATTATTACATCTTAAGAGTTTATGCTTCCATAATTAAGGGCAGTTTGGAAATCAGACTGCAGTAATTTTCATAGGACTAAATGATGATTTCACACTATACTTTGTGGAACTCCTTTTAGGAGGTCCTTGTGCAAAAGAGGGTAAGTGGCAATAGAATCAGTCTCATTTTATCTGCTTTACAACGTGAACTTCATGTAAGAATTCAGGCTACAAAAGGTTTGTGTGTGTGTGTTCCTGTGTGTGTGTGTGTGTGTGTGTGTGTGTGTGTGTTTAAGATTTATTTATTTATATGAGGCGTGGAAGGGCAGAAGGACAGAGAAAATCCCAGCAGACTCCCCACTGAGCCCAACACAAGGTTAATCAGACAACCCTGAGATCATGACCTAAGCTGAAACCAAGAGTCCAAGAGCCACCCAGGCACCCCTAGACTAAAAAAAGTTTTTAAAAACTACTAAATTAGGGCCACCTGGGTGGCTCAGTCAGTTAAGCCTCTGCTTTCAGCTCAGGACCCTGAGATCGGATCAAGCCCGGCACTGGGCTCCCTGCTCAGCAGGGAGCCTGCTTCTCCCTCTCCTGCTGCTCCCTCTGCCTGTGCACTTGCTCTCTCTCCCTACCTCCCTCTTTCTGTCAAATAAATAAAATATTTTTTGAAAAACTACCAAATTAATCAAATTTGCAAGTCCCAACCTCCAGGGAAAATTCTATGAATTAGGTTAACGTCCACAACTTTTCGAGTAAAGAAGGCACTAAGTGGAACTATAAAGACCATCTGCTTCTTGGTGTGGTTCTGATGTAGAAAAAAGTCAGCATTTTGCTTTGTGAATCCACTGACACACACAATAAGGTCTGCAAGCAAAAACTTTTCTTAGCTCATCATTTAATTAAAAGATTTTATATATTCAAAAATATCAACCTTGATAGGAGGGCTGCACATAGACACTGAGCATATTCCTGGGCGAGCTCAGTGTACACCCCTCACTCACCTTGACCACAGCTGCCGACAGGTCACTTTCTCCTAAGGGGGCAGGTGATGGGTCATGTGCTCGTGCCTTTACTTCCTCTTCCCCAGGGTTGCCATGCATGGCCTTAGTGGCCAGATTTCCTTTCACGGCCACAGTTAAATTTCCACTCCTTTTATACACCAGCACAGGACTGGTTTCCTTGGTTACTAAGGTTTTAATATCATCACCTTCCACTTTCCAGAAAACTCACAGACCATGAAATAGCTGGGTTTTGTTTTAATCTAGCCAACTTCAAGACACTCCCCAAACTCTCAAGTCAACAGCAGGAGAGAAGTTAATTAACAGGGAAACAATTACTGAACTAGAAGGAACCTCCTGCCCTCAGGTGAGGTCATGTGGAAATACAGGGGGCCAGTCGACCCTATGCCTGAACCCGGGATGAGGTCTTCTACCCAAATTAACCATATCGCATCCTTCCTAAGCACAGACTTCCAATTCCTTAAACATTACTCTCTGTTCTACATTTCTTAAATGCCCCACAACCTCTTTGAGTTGTTATAATCAAAATGAACTCACTAGGAGTGACGAGGCCATTGCCGCTGCCTCTGCACCACAAATTCTGAAAATAAAATTAAGATTAAAAAGCACCTGTATTTTTAGTTCCTTCTCCGGACACATTTCTTTCTTTAAATATAACTTCAAATGGCACTTATCTTCCATCTGTCTGTCCTACAGTATATCTGAAGAGGACTGCTTTTGTTCCTTGCAGACATCCCAACACTACTGCCAACATTCCTCCAACAACTAATTTTTTAAAGATCTTTTTCATTTATGTATTTGACAGAGAGAGAAAGAAAGAGGGAGAGTGTAAACAGGGGTAGTGGCAGGCAGAAGGAAAAGCAGACTCCCCGCTGAGCAGGGAGCCTAACTTGGGACTCCATCCCAGGACCCTGAGATCATGACCTGAACTGAAGGCAGATGTTTAACCAGCTGAGCCACCCAGGCATCCCTCAACAACTATTTAAGTAGTTAAGGGGTGACAGTCACCAGTTCAGGCACTGAGAGTAGAAAAACAAATCAGACAAGGTCTTGCACCTTAAGAACCCAGAGTCCTATGAAGAAATCAAAGAAGCAAACATATACTTAAAGAAGCACCATATGTGTGCATGTGCATTCCTAAGATGTTATAGGAGCACCGAAATAGCACCAGCAATGGAGGAAACAGAGATGGAAGAGAGCTTCAGGACTAGCCTTGTGAGCCAGAGAGAAGGAGGAGGAAGGCATTTCAGGTTGAGGGAACCATATAATTCAGCTCCAGCTGAATTTAGCTGTGGGCATGTGGCCTGAGAGGAATCCAATGAAATCAGCACCTGCTATCTCCCACTGGAAAACAGTTCCCAGGATCCAAGAGATTTAGCAAAGAAGATGCTTGTAACCACGGGATAACAGCTGTTCAGAACAAAACCCAGAGAAGTCAAGGGGAAGATGTAACAGTAGCGGCATGGTTTTTTAGCCAAATGCCCCACAGAAACCACACAGAGCCAGTAGGATAGCATGATCAAAACTCCATGGAACACTTCCATTCGAACCTGGTAGTAAGCTCTCTCCGCAAAGCCCCAAGCATGGGCAGGTAGGAGCAAGTCAACAGCCGCAAGTCCTGCATGGTACCTGTGCCTGAGAGAGGAAGCAGGGGGAGTCATGGGGAGTCAGGGGGACGTCTGACAGACCTGAGCACCCCCAAACAAACAACAGGCACTCACGAGGAAGTGTGCAGGCCCACTGAGAACAGCAGCCGGGAATGTCGGGTCTTAGGCACACTGATAGCTATGGGATACAAGGAGTTCACAGAAAATCCTGAAGGGACCAAGTCAGTCTGGGCCCCATGAGCTCTCAGCAACAACTGGCAAAGCTTCTCGCAGGACCCAGCTCCACTCTGAATGGAAATCACCGCGGGTAGAATCCAAAGCTAGCGGAACAGAGTCTGGTATCATTTTTCAGTAACAACCCACAGGGCTCCTCGCTCCATCCTTTTCCTTCTCCGGGTTCCTATCTCATCCTCATCGATGTGATTTTGGTTCAGAGTTTGATAAAAACAAGAGGCGTGAGAAAGTCATTCCCATTGCTTAGCAGAATCACGAACCTGGGCCAGAACCACTCTTCTGTCCATTCCCAGCTCCTCAGATGCCTCCACGCTCAGCATGGAGTTTGTGTGGAAGAGGCCCACTCTCTGCCCCTCCCCCCACTCAACAACTTGCTTGCTCTCTCAAATAAATAAATAAATCCCCCCCCCCCAAAAAAAAGTCCCTTCTCACCAGCTATTTTGGGACATTTTTTGCTTAAGATTTTTTCCTGCAATGTTCCTGTTGCCATGTAGTTACCAATTTTAATTAGATGTCATCATCAAGATAAGTGATTTCAGTAAGCCTTATTCAGAAATTCTAAAAGGACTGTTCTTCAAACTGAAACAGCCAGTGTCCCTAGGGTCAATAGAGTCTTGATTTTTTTTTTTTAATGAAATCATCTAGCAAATGAAATCATCAAAGCAAAATAGGCTTTGCCAGTAGACAATATGCTCTCCTACCTTTAGAATAGAACTTCTTACTGACACCTTTGCAAGCTTGCTCTACGATACCAACCCGCAGAGGCAAATTGAAAATTCGGTTAAAACAATCATTTGGTTTAAGCCCCAAGGCTTTAGAGAGGAGATGAGGTTCAGAAAAGGACTTGCCCAAGGTCTCACTTCACAGCAGAAGCAGAATGACAACCTGCCTAGAATGCAACCCGGTGCTTTTGCCAACATGTCTCTCGACAGAGCAAAATCTTAGTAAAACAAGTCATTCTCTCTAATGTGTTAAGGCTCTTCACTTCTAAAGTCTTTATGAAGGTTCTATTCAAAACTCCTGACCACCAGCAGAAAAAAATGACACTTTTTAAATGGCAAAAGAAGAGCAAGCCAGACTGAGGATTCAAAAATCATCCTTTGATGTTGAAGCCACTTTTCTTACATCAATGACACTATCTTGATCTTTCAAAACTCATTCTTGTTCAAAAACCTTATTTAATTTCAAGGAAGTCCTGGAAGATAGGTTAGGATCTTACACATAATTATATATACAAAGATGAAATACAGTTGAAATAGGTCACATACCCACTCCAAACACTTAGCATCCACACAAGAGAGCAAATCTGACACAAAAGCTTATTCCAACTTCAAACCATTCAGTCACTTAAAACAGCAAGGTTCACAGTGTGAAGAAACGGCTTGATAGTAAGAAGTCACTTATGTTAAAAGCAATAAATATGACCAGAGATGGGGAGGAGAGGACCACACATAATCAGTAACAATAAAGAAAAGATACACAATTTGAAAAGACTTAAGCTTTTCCAAAAAGTACAGAAAGTACTTCAGAGCAAGACGAAAACAGAAGATAATGTCAACAGGTGACAAACTGGTAAAATGTAAAAGAAAAAAAAAGGAACTGTACAAAACAGGTGTGATCGAAAACTATGCTTAATTAAAAGATTAATGGCATCATCTGGCAGAAAACCCTTCTCCCACCACCTCACAATTCAGTCAAATGGACTGCCAACCTCACTGCGCCTTCATTCCTGATGGATCGAAGCTACAGACATGCAGCTCAAAATCTGCGTGCCTTCAGGAAAGCTCCACATGTGCATTATTCAGGTCCCTTGGCTGAATGTCAGTCTTCTCTCTCCTTGTGAGGAAAAGCTCCAAGATTAACTAACCAGGTCAAATTTCAGGGGATACAAGACCCACTCTCCACACAACTTTTTCGTTGTCCTGTCTTTAGTCAGGGGCCAAACTCAAGGCCCGATGAGTACAAGCTGTTGATTTGCCAGTTCACACTAGAGAACAATGGATCTACCAGAACTTTCTCCCTTCTAAGCACCTACCTCATGGGGGACAGCCCACGGACACAGACCATGACAAGGAAGGACCCCACTAGACCAAACATCTGTCAAGTCTTTCTCTGTGCACGTGGTTTACCGGACATCCCTGAAACAGGTCCTGTGCTTCCCCATTCCCTAGCCTTCTACCAGCGACATGCCTCTCTGGAATGTATCCTCTTCTTCAGCTCCTCCCTGGTGAATAGAGTTGTATGCAATGCCTAACATTTCTCTTCTGTGGGCTGGCTGAATTTTTCTGGGTGTTGAAATCTTTGCTTTATCTTCAAGATATCTTCAAGAGCACCTGCACATGACAACATGAACACGAAGAGAAAAGGACGGACGCGCTTGCAGCGCTCGTGCCACTGACTCCTTTCAACTAGAAGCCAATAGCAATCAAATGACAGCTCCTGCAAAAATTGTATTTAGAGACTTCATGTGCAAATATTTTGTAGAATAAATAAGGTGGCACTGTTTACGATGAAGAGGAGTGCACGTATGACACTTAAAACCTACTTCTGCCACACCACGCCTGACATTTGAAAGGCACTCGGCTGGCGTGCACTTCTTTCCTGGCTAAACTGTGTTCTCTCATTCCTCAGGCATCGACTGAATAACATCCTTAGCTACGTGCTAGCAAAAACTCCTTCCTTCTGATCCCCACTACTTTAGCCAATATGGAGAAACAAGAAAAAGAAAATGCACTTTTCAGAAGCAGACAGATTCGACATACAATTTCCCCTACGAAAGGACAGAATACTATAATCTGCATTTCCCTTCTGCAGCTCTTTTCAAGTGTGACCTTTAGGAAGCTCTTCCAACATTGGGGAGGCCAAAACTTTAATTAAAAGAAAGGGCAGCAAAGACGGCTAAGCAAGGGAGAAAGCTTTTTACCTTGCATTAGAGAAGGTGGATTTTCTCAAAGCTCCCATACGAGAGGACAAAATGCAAATCCCGGGATCAGGATTATATCGAACACACAAGCTAAGGGCCTTGAAGCTGGACCACAATGCAGTGTACCTAAATAACCACAGGTTGGGAGAATTCCCTTGGGGTTGGCAATACTAACATCACCCATGCCTTATCTTTTGTCCAAGTGTTAAACCATTTACCGCTCTTGATAGAAACTTAAAGCAACACTTCATTCCACCTTCTCAAGATCCCCAACAACAATGTCTAAGTACTCTTTTATGAAAGAGGCACAAATTAAACTCGGGTATTGCTTTCTTCCAACAAGGAGGCCTGCGGATTGGAAATCATAATCAAAACCCTCAACAGGAATAAACATGAAAAAGCTAAAGCCTATTAGGACACAAGCT